ACTTAGTGTATAGCAAGCACCTTGACTCTATACAAAAACCACCTAAATATTGTAACATAATACGGATGACAAATAAACACAATATTGACAAACTGTTACCAAATTGTCCTTGCACTTAGTGTATAGCAAGCACCTTGACTCTATACAAAAACCACCTAAATATTGTAACATAATACGGATGACAAATAAACACAATACTGACAAACTGTTATCAAATTGTCCTTGCACTAGTGTATAGTACCGCGACTCTATACAAAAACCGCCTAAATAGATTGGCATACCTGACCGTAATTATTTAATCATTCTCAGAATATTGCTGAAACAACGGCCCGTGACTCGTCTGTACAGATGCACAAACATAAATAACTCGTGATATATGGCTTCCCTTTCAACCAATCAAAACATGGAACTTACCGGAGAGAAAGGCGAATCTTCTCTTCAAGATCTCGACAATTTGAGCAGCCTCTTGAACTGTAATAATGAAACAATACGTGTACGTTACGGTTCAGGTAAGATAACACGAGAATGTATTATATGGCATATGTGGACTCGGCCGAAACGTTTACGTCATTTAATTAGCAATAAATAGCAGCTTTCTCTGTTTCTACATGCTTCTTTGATGACAAATTACAACAACACCTAGGTTGTTCCATGGGTTTGCGTCTACATGTTAAATTGTTAGAAAGCTATGAATAAAAAAATAACTATTCAAAATCAATTCAAAATTTGATTAACATTAAATATTGTAATATTGTCTGTTTTGGTTTATTTTTCAGCATTGTAAACAGAAACATATCATTACATTTATAAAATGTCTTAACTACACGGTTGAGTACTTTTGTAACGTGTTCTATTGTTAGGCGGATTCTTTTGGATTATTTAGCAAAAGTAATGCCAAGTCCAGTCCACGTAAGGGTAATGAATAAATTCATTTTTCAATATTGTTTGCTATTGTTTATTGTAGTCATAAGTTCACAAACAACGTTTCAACAGAAATTCCAAGACTAATAGTACGTATGCCTAATTTATAAACTTACTGAATGGACGCGATAATTTTCACTACTAACATTGAACTGAATCTCTGATTACTCATTGATTTTTCACTAATTAGTTCATATCGTACCCTTGTTTTCTGATACTGCGCGAAACTTCCAAATTATTAACTTTCGTGAAACTTTTAGATATTGTGTCATTAGCCATCTAGCAAATATCTAACTTCAGCATTAAAACTATAGTTTACAGCAGTACTTTACATCAAAACGATTTTATATAAGCAAATCAGCAAGTCACGTAACAATTACTGCTGATATAAAGTCATAGAGGAACGAAATGTATCAAAAGTACATTTTGATATGATTTGGTGTTTATTGGGTAGTGTGATGCCACTGAAAATTGATCGCTTTTAGGAAGGGTATGTACTTAGATCGGGGAATTAGAATTTCCAAGATAGGGACATTCCTGCTTGATGGTATTGGAAAACAAAGAAATATGTACCAATTTGGGCATCAGGACCTTTTAGAAAGAGACTTGCGATAAGTCGTACCTCAGCCGTGTAAACAAAGTGCAGCTTCTTGTAACAAGTGAAAATCCTCGAACACAAAGATCAGTGACAAGAACCGCTCACGTGTCTGGGTTTGCAACATAATGAATAAAGAACTCCTTCTGAAAAAGTGACACAAGTCACGTGTACATAAATTGTTTCCACTACATATCCGCTCAACTGTGCATACCTCAAAAAGCTGGAGATTGAAACTAGTAATCATGCTATTCCATACAAAGACATACTCGTCATGTTGCTGGATGAAGCGCCTGTAGATTTTTGTAGAGACAAACTGCTCTCATAGATTAGATCAACTGTGAAAACCATGTTGGAAGGAATGGTGTGTTTTGGATATGAAAACCTTATAACGGAGCCTTTTCCAATAGAAACTATGCTATAGCTCTGTTGTCAAGATGCACGGTCGTTACACATCATGTCATCACTCCTAGAAACAATATCATTTCATTTGAAGTTTTTGTGCATGCAAGGGTTATAAGACTTATTTGATTTTCGTTAAAATAAGTAATCAACAGCAAGATGTAAGTTTACAAAATTCTCTCATGTATATGAAAGTTAATGTTTTAAAATACCCGAGATTTAAACACCCAGGACTTTCAAACCTACAGTATAGAATAGTCTCAAACATACAAAACCTTTAACACACTTAGAGAAGGTACCTCCGCCTGAGCTGAAGGGTTAACCCCTTTGTTACTTCTAATAAGTCACATTCTAGGTGTTGTGATTCCACAAAACCCATTTTTTACCAACAAGACCCTTTCCTTTTAAGGTCGAGTTTCAGGGTTGTCAGATGACCACTAGCTGAGCACCAACTTTTCTGTAGTAGTAATTACCTTTGGGTATATGTGTGTTCCAGGATAGAGTCGATACTTCTCATCAAGTGCTCTACCACCTAAGATATATGATTACCCCTAGCTACTGTTAATGAAGCACTTTTTAACTATTCAAATCACCTGGATACCATGTCCTCAAACATATGAAACATAAATATTTTAAACACGCTAGACTTAGATACTCTTAAACATACAAGATTTAAGACTTTAAACGCCCTCAAACACACGAAATGTAAGGGTTTAGAAACTCTCAAAATACACTATATTTAGGTTTAATGTTTTTGCACACACTAGAGTACTTGTTATTTTCAGAGAAGCAAAACATAATTTCATGCTTACGAGGCTTGTAATTTTCAAAAACACAGGCTAGGAAAGTTTTTAAATATAAAGGGGCCTGACACCTTTCAAACACACTAGTTTTAAATACCTAAAATACTCTCAAATTTAACACTTTCATATAAACAACACTTAAGTAATCTAAAACACACAAAATTTTATTAAAATTATCAAATACGCGAACTGTAATACTTTATACTGTAAGACTGTAAACAAGTTTAAGAGATTCAAATATGAACATAAAGTGTCTTGGAAAGTAAAATCAAGTACAATATAATTATCATTATGTTTGAATACACCGGAAATGAATTGGTAAGATCACTAACAAAAGACAATTAAAATGTATGTAGAAAATGTTCTGAAACAAATAAAATTACTTCAAGGTTAATATGACACATTATTTCAGAATGTTATGCTACTGTGGAGATGGCACCATTTTTTGTCACCATGGTATATCAAGGCTTTTTGTTATTTTATTTTAAAGTCTGTTCTCTACGTTGTTGTTGTTCAAGCAAAGCCACATTGGGCTATCTGCTGTGTTCACCGCGGGGAATCGAACCCCAGTTTTTAGCATTTTAAGTCCATATATTTACTACTGTCCCACCGGGGGACTTCTGTCCTCTAGAAAATGTATTATTTATGGATAATTTCAGTCCAGAATGGTATTACGGCGAGTTTCTTTTTAGGATTTTTTTGTTTGTTTTTTAGAGTTCGCGCAAAGCTACACGAGGGCTATCTGCGCTAGCTGTC